GGATCAGGAGCCGGCGTCTTACTAATCAGCCCTGAAGGCCACAAGATTACATCGGCGGTACGGTTCAAATTTAAGGCATCAAATAATGAAGCGGAATATGAAGCCCTAATTGCCGAACTACGTTTAGCGAACCACTTAAAGGTCGAGAGAATCAGCGTCTACAGCGACTCCCAGCTAGTCGTCGCGCAAATAAAGGAGGAATATCAAGCACGCGGCAAGAAGATGGGGGCATATCTGAGAAAGGTAAAAGAGGAACTCGTTAAATACAAAAACTACGAGGTACTCCAGATCCCACGAGCCGAAAATGCAAACACGGATGCACTGGCAAAGCTGGCTTCATCAAAGGATGTTGACACACTAGGCGTTGTCCCCATTGAAGAATTGGAACGGCCGACCATCGAGGAGCACACCAAGGCATTTAGTGTCCAAGAAGGAGAAAATTGGATGACACCACTCATACGGTACCTAATGGACGCACAGTTGCCGAATAGTAAAGACGAGGCCCGACGGATCAGGTATAGAGCCGCCAGGTACTTATTGTACGATGGCCTGCTCTATCGACGAGGCTACTCAACACCTCTACAACGGTGCCTAGATGATGCCGAAGCCCAGAAGGTCCTCCAAGAAATACATGAAGGGATCTGTGGCAATCATACCGGGGGACAATCTTTAGCGCTAAAGGTTTTAAGGCAAGGATACTACTGGCCCACGCTCAAGAATGACGCTTTTCAGTACGCCCGACGATGCAATAAATGCCAAAGGTATGCCACAATTCCCAGAGCACCCCCGGAAAAGCTAACTTCCATTCTCAGTCCATGGCCCTTCGCCAAGTGAGGGATTAACTTGATCGAGCCATTGCATCCTGCACCTGGGGGGTTGAAATTCACGATCGTTGCGGTAGACTATTACACAAAGTGGGCAGAGGCCAAGGCCCTAACCACAACCACGGAAGCAACCTGCACCAAATTCATGTGGGACCAATCGTGTGGCAGGTTTGGGGTTCCCCACTCGATAGTGTCCGACAACGGGAAGCAGTTCGACAACGCCGCGACACGCAGATTTTGCGCCGGTTTGGGCATCCGAAAAGACTTCTCGGCGCCAATCCATCCACAATCAAATGGGCAAGTCGAGGCCATCAATAAAATACTCAAATATACCCTAAAGAAGAGACTCGATGACTTAAAAGGGAGATGGGCCGAGGAGCTTCCCAAAGTTTTGTGGGCATACAGAACAGCAAGCCGAACTACGACAGGAGAAACACCTTTCTCCATGGCGTATGGCGTCGAGGCGGTACTTCCCATAGAAATCGAAACGCCGACTCTAAGAACTGTTGTCCACAACGACGAGGATAACGTGGAGGGCATGAACGGAGAACTCGATTTATTAGAAGAAAAGCGACTCGACTCCCAACTACGTCTCGCCACTTATCAGCAACGGACAGCATGATACTACAATAAGAAAGTTCGGCAAAAGAGGTTCATCCCGGGAGACCTAGTATTAAAAAGGGTGACACAAAGCACAAAACCCAAGAATACTGGTCCCTTGGGCCCAACTTGGGAAGGACCCTATCGCATAAGGA